CTTTCCCCATCAGCTGCCCACGCCGAGCTTAGTGACCGTCACTGACCCATCAACCGTGACCCTAGGGGTTGGCAGTTTGGGTGGAGACCAGCGGGGCTCATGCGTCCCTCTGGGCAGCTGCTGTTGGCAGAAGTGAGGACAGTCGCCCATCGCGACTGGGCATCCGGTGGCCAGGAGGGGTGGTCGTGCGTGGAACAGAAGGGGGAGCTCCCGTGTGGACAGCGTGTTGGTGGCCGAGCTGTCCCTTTGCCTCCTTCCCTGAGGGGCGTAGGCACCGTGAGGACGGAGGGTCCTTTTGCTGAAAAGTCTCCTCAGGGCTTGGGAGGCGTCCGGCTGTGAGGGTGATGTCAAGGACGACACCTTCAGCGGGAACCTTGGGCTCAGATACTTCGGGGTGCCCGCGCCCCGTCTCTGGCTTGGCCCCACCCTGGGCTACCACTCTGCTTGGCGTGTGTCCCCCACAGAGCCCTCAGAGGGACACTGTGCATGCTCGGACAGCCTGTGTCTGAGCTGCCCGCGTGGCTCCGGAGCGCGTGCCATTTACCTAGTGAGCTTTTACCTAGTGAAACTTCTAATTTCATTCAACCTTAATTTTCACTTCAGATTTAAATCTGAACAGCCAGTGGCCACCATACTGGGCGGTGCAGCTCATACGACCTTATCCTGCACGGGTGACACCGCCGTCACCCAAGCGTGGAGAATCTGGACTCAGGCTCTGCTCAGGTCCGCTGTCAGAACACTCGCTGACCAGCTGCCCGCGACTCCAGTGCCACCAGCCTCTGCAGGCCCCTGGACATCCGTGTGGCTGTCCCCTGCCCGGGGCCTGGACTCTGTGACGCCGAAGGATCAAAATGGGCCCCTGCGTTTTGCAGTCTCACGACTTATCGGAGGCAGCGAGCAGGGGCATGTCCGCTGCCAGCATGAGGAAAGTGACGGGTGACAGGAAGCAAGGGGGCGGAACCACGTACATTTACTGAAACACAGTCTGCTGCGTAAAGCAGCCCAGGATGCGGTTTCTGTCCTTACGAATCTCATCTGGAGGGGGACCGGGGTCAGTGGGGACCTCAGCACTGGGTGGCCCGGTGCCCTGCAGTGGGTGTGGGCACGGGAGGCCGGCAGCTTCCTGCAGGTGGCACGCGGGCCACCCTGTCCCATGGCCGGGCCTCATCAGGGAGGGACGCGAATGTCCAGGGGCCAGCAGGGAAGGAGGGGGTGTAGGGGGAGGCCGAGCCCGAGAGCAGAATTAAACGGCAGAGGCTTCCTGGCCCCAGGGGTGATGTGAGTGTGCCCTGGCTCGGAGCTCTGAGTTCCCACCGTGCTTCAGGTGCACGTGACTCAGGAGACCCCCAATGACCCCGCCCCCCAAGCCTGTTTCTGCAGCTGTGGACTGGGGGAACGCCATCTCCTGCGGAGTCACATGAACGCCATCAGCTTTGCCCCCCGCGTGTCGGGTGAGGTCACCGTGTGTCAGGCGAGGTCGCCGTGTGTCAGGCGAGGTCGCCGTGTGTCGGGTGGGCACTCAGTTTCCATGTCACCGTGTCACTGGGAGCATGTCTTCAGACCCTGGGCGCCCGGGCCGGGGAGCGCGCTTGCTCCAGGCCCTGAGGCGCAGCACCCGGCCGCGGGGCGTGCCCTCTGGGGCTGGGAGCCTGCACAGACCACAAGGACTGTGTGCCAAGCCTTCCCCGGGGCCGAGGACCCTCCCCTCTCTCGATCCCCAAAGCCCGTCTTCCTCAGAACATGGGGACCATGGGGTGTGCCTGGAGTTTGTGAGTAGTGAGTTATCTAGAGGCGAGAGGAGGTTGGGGAAGTGGGGTGTCAGCCGGGCCTGCGGGGTCGGGGGCTTCTGTCAGGGTGGCGGGCCTGGCACCAGCAGCGTGAGCATTGTGAGAGAGACCGGGGCTGGTTCCCGCCCCACACAGGGATCTCGCGGAGACCGCTGGGCTTCTCCAGGGAGGGGCTGCTGCACCTCCGAGCCCCCTCCCCACCCCCACACAGCCCTTGTGACGTCACACAGGCGCGGCCAGTCTCCAGAAAGCTCTATCAGACCCCTCCGCATTCTCTCCTGGCCAGCACCCGGGTGCCATGGGACCTCGGCTGGCCTGAACACCGGCCTCCCGCCCCCTGGCTGAGGTTGGCGCACGGTCCGTAAGTGACTTGCCATGTAAAAGGGCCATTGCCAGAGAACAGGTGACAGCAGGACAAGTACAATAGCACAGTGAGTGTCTCGTTTGAAGATGAGGGGCGGCTGGTCATGCAGACCTGGCCGCGGTGGCTGGCGTCGGGGGCCGCTGCGCGCAGGGGACTGTGTGTCCACAGCCAGGACTCGCCCCAGAGTGAGACTCCGGGCTCCGGACTCTGGTCCCTGCTCGGCTTCGGTTTAAGTCACATGACTTTGGGCTTTTAAAAGCACCCCAAGAACTGGGCCCATAGGTGAGAAAGACCCATATTTGAAGTAAGAGCCACGAATTCGAGCAAAACCCGAACGCGCAGCACCCATGGTCTTCACCGGGGGGCGGCTCCCGCCAGCGCAGCCTCGCCGGCCAGAGGGGCGTCTCAGGCCACCCTTCCCAGGCTCACCCCGTTTCGTCGTCTTATTTTAAGGCAAATCCCAAAGGGGACACAGAGTGAATAGCGCTCGACTATGGAATTTTAAGGCGACGCTTTTTCCATCAAAGGAGAATAATAGCTTCATCTCGCCGGAACAACCCGTTCCGATCCTCATTTCTGATGAATAAGTTGCAATGTGCATCAAAAGCTCCAGCATATTCACTGAACATGGCCGTCTGGCCTAAGTCGAAGCTCGTCCCTTTGAGGGCATCCGTCCCTCTGCGAATTCTTTAACCGCTCAGTTAAACAAGCACTGTAGGGCTTTCCAACGACAGACTGAGGAGCGGAGGCCATGGGCGGTCTGGGCATGGGTGGCTTTCTGGGAGAGAGGGGCGAGGTCCGCCGGGCCATCAAACAGGGCCGCTGACAGAGAAGGTTAAATTATGGACTTAGCAAAATGTTCAGATGCTCTGTCTGGTGCACACTCGGCTTGCTGTGACCAACCAAAAAAAAAAAAGCCGAGCTTTTAAAAAGGGCTCTGAGCTCCCAGTTCCAGCACGTGTGGCTTCCCTGTCATCGAATGAGTCTCTGGACTCCAGCTAGGGTCCTACAGTCAACTCAGTTCCGACCCTGCGGACCCCGAGGCAGCATCGCATCCCGCAGGTTAAGGGCTGGTGCTGCGAGCCTGGTCTTCCCTCTTCAGATGTCATTTGAAAGCCCCAGTTGTCACTTGTGCTTCTGACCATTTGCTGTAAATCAGAGGTTCCAGGGACCCCTCCTTGGGTTGGCTTAATCTGCTAGAGAGGCTCACAGAGCTCGGAGAAGCGTGTTGTTTACTAGATCGCGGGTGCATGGTGACAGGGTACATACAGCTCAGGAACGGCCGGAGGGCAGACGTGCCCAGGGGAGGCGTGAGGAGGGGGCCCGGGGCTCCCTCCCCAGGCGGCTGCTCCCCCTGAGTCTCAGGTCCTCCAGCCTGGCAGCTCCCCGAATCCATCCTTTTGGGGGTCATCACGTAGGCGTGGTTGATTAGATCCCCACACTGGCCATCAAGCCAACCTCTGGCCCCTCTCCGCTGGCCGGAAGTCAGGCGTGGGGTGAATGAGCACCCAGGCTCCGGTGCCTCCCACAGCGACCTCACTGACACAGGCCGGCCGTGGTGGAAAGCGGCCTGCTATGACCAGCGAGATGCCCTTCACCTCTACTCTGGAGAGACTTGCAGGAACTGGGAACTGGAGACCAGACACCGTGGCCAAAGGCTCTGCCACTGCTCTGACCCGCGGGGCATTCCGAGGGCTGGGGCGCTGCGGGCCAGGAGCCTCGGATGCCGACATCACGCATCGGAGAACGACGTAGTGAATCTCTCATGAATCACGACGTCTCGCTTTCCAGAAGGACGGGTAGACCAAAGGCTTTGTCAGCACTTCAGCAAATCAGACGCTCGACAAGCCGCCATGCAGTGCCGGGCACTGTGTGCTTTTGCACGGGACGCAGGACAGTCACCAGGCGCTGTGGTCAGCGGGGGCAGCCCGAGACGCCGCCTGCTCAGCCAGGCCCCGGTCTGGGACCGGCCCGGCCCTCGGTCCTGCGCCTGGAGCTGCTGACCCGCCTGCTGCCTGTTGGAGAGGCCGGCGGAGCTTCAGCGGTGGCGTGTCCGGCTTTGACGGCTGTCTGAGAACAGGGCGGCGAGGGCTCCAGGGAGAAGCCCCTGGACGGCGCCTGCGGGGTGGCCGAGCGGCCGTCTGCGGTGCAGTGTTGGCTTCGTTTGCACCAGGCACTGGTGCAGTGCTGGCGCTGGCCGGTGGGGTGGCCTCCGTGTCGTCACCTCCCCAGGGCTTTCCCAGAGCGACCCTGTCTGAGCACCTGCCCACGGCACGTGTGTCCCCCTGCCCTGCGTGGACCCATCACCAGCCACGACGATCGTCGGCCCAGCGCCAGTCCTGTCCCCCCTGCCCCTGAGTCACTTTGTCCTTTCCAGGACTTTGAGGAAGAATTTCCAGACTATTTAAAAGAAGATTCCAGATATGATATAATTTCAGGGTTGTAGATCTCACCGGAAGGCAGACACGATTCTTCTGACCAACGGCACATGACGTGTGGGCAGACGAGGGGAAGGTGACTGGGGACTGTGAAGCGTGGCTGGGAGGCTGCGTGAGCGGCTGCCGGCCCGAGGGGAGGACCTGGGGTAGAGCAGGGGCCGAGTGGGGACTCGCGGGCTTGAGACTTGATTGGACATCCGCGGCGACAGACATCGAGTCGGCCGAGGGAGTCCGGGAAGGCCATGTGCACCGGGATCAGCAGCGTGCGGATGATGTTAGGAGCCGGGAGGCTGGATGAGGTCACTGGACAGCGAGTGTAGAGAAGGGGGGACTCGGTGACCCCGAGGACGTGGCAGAGCGGGGGGCAGGGCGGGAGCGGCGGGGAGGCAAGGAGCTGCCTGCTCCTGCCCCGGCTCCGGGATCGGGGATCGGGGCCTGCAGCGCTGCCTCAGCGACGCCTCCCCGAGCCCCGGGCTGGAGGACGCTCTGAGGCCCCTCAGTCTCTGGCGGTCACAGAGCGCCCCTCGGCGTTTGCATCTGTGGGCGCCTGTTTCCCACATGTGGGGAGCCCCCTGCCCCATCTCCTGTACCCCATCTCCAGCCAGGGCCTGCCACCTCGTTGCTCGCTGAGTGCTTTGTGGACGGATCCAAAGACTATTAAAGCTGATTATTCTTTTTCTAAATTAAAAACTTTCCCCTATACAAAGTAAAACTGCTCTGTGCGGCGGTGGGATTTGTGTGTTTTCTCCTTAAACACTTCAGAAGGAAGCCGGGCTCAGTTCCCTCCTGGTTCAGTGTTCGTGCGACGTCACCTTCTCATCCGACCGAAGGCGGCACTGAGCCGGGGTGGGGTGGGGTACACCTGCCGCACCCACTCAACACTGTTTGTGCTCGAGGCTCTCAAACCCGGTCTGGGAGCTGGACGAGGGCCGTCCCCACGCACTCAGCGGGCTCCGCTCTCCCCGGACCGAAGTGACCCGCCTCTCCCCTTGCTAGGAACCATGGTGGACTCGCCCAGGGAGGGAAGACTGGCCAGGTCCCCGGACTTCATCCAGCTGGTCGACATGGCGTCTGAGTCCGTGGGAGGCAAGGTGAGCGGTCAATGGCGGGAACGGGGGATCGCGGCCTCGCGAGGGGCCCCGCCCAGCATGGCGGAGCCTCGTTAGAACCCCGAGAACCGGGCAGAAGGGGCCCTGCCTGGGAAAGCCCATTACGGCCAGAGGCTTCCGAATTTTTCTTAAATTGGTGGAATTCTGAGCCGGGGCGGCTTTGCCTTCAGTTCAAAACAGAAAGGCGTTTGCAGCAGCGGAGGAACTGTCTCTCCCTCTGCAGCGGCCCTCGGACTTCGGTGTGGGAGTCGCCTGGACACTGTTAGCACAGTGTGCGGGGCGCCAGCCTCGGCAACGCGCAGCGGGGCGAGGCTGCGGGGGGCACAGAGGGGGCGAGGCTGTGGGGGGCAGATGGGGCGAGGCTGCGGGGGGCA